ATCAACAGGATTGGTTTGTGAAGAGCATGCATCACTAGACAACCATTTATCGTGGATTCTTTGGAGATCACCATTTTCAGATAGTTGAAGAATTGCAGTGGACAAATCAACAGCCAAAGGAGAGTCCCTTTGAAATGCCTGGACGAAGCAAATTTAGAATAGCATGATACTGATACTCAAATTACAATACTAGGAATACACGATTTATGTTTATCTATCCATTGAAGTAACGACACCAATCTTGGCTCGCACAACTAGACTTCATTGGATAGGTGCCTTTAGTTTTAGTATGTTATCCCAAGATGTCTCACATTTACATTCTCAGCATGCTTAAGCAAACAATAACCTCAAGAAATAAGAATTTCTAACTTACAAATCCCCATCCACTTTTCGTGAACTCTTGTCCGACCGTCCTGAACGTGCACTTTGTATTGACTAAGAATAGTTCAATATAAGGAAGCTCATCAACTATAGCTGCAACGCCACCATTATTTGGACCCTTCTGAAGGGCAGCAACATACTCATCTTGGGTTTTCATGATTCGGAGCCTCGACTGTGCGATGTGTAGTTCTTCAACGAGATAGTTGTATGCAAATGACCCATCTTGTATCCCTATAGGATCCGAACTGGCAATCAAACTGTCGATGCCCTGCACACGTGAAGTCAGCTGCTGAACTGTGAGTATTGAAGTCAAGCTAGCTGTATAGCTTGAATTGATAATTAGGACAACAAAGAGCCACAAGATCAGCACTAAACGCCCAAGGGTGCTGACGGTGTTCTCTCCTGCTCAATCAAACAAAACTATTAGGATTGCTCAACCACTGCTCTTCCCAAGACCCCAAAAAAAAAAAAAAACTAGTAACTCAAAAGAATGCACAATTAAGTAAGAACACTTGAATAGGTATTTATCTACTTACTGTGTGCAAAAAACATCGTTGAGAAACTAAACCTGCAACAAAAAATCCATAAAGTACATTAGCATCCATAAAGCCAGAGAAACGCTCGATGAAAAGCTAATATCTCCACCAATTCATCAGGAAGCTACTGAGACAATTTGCAACACAAACCATTCATTTATCAAAAGCATATTTCTTTGAAATTGAGCTAGGTGAATTTGTGAATTTCATGGCATAATAGCAAAAGTACACTAAGAGAAAACAATTTGTAGAGTTGTTCACTGAGTGCTACACATAACAGCAAACCTGCAAAGTGGCTCATGATCAGGCCCACATTAATGAGAATATAAAGGAGTACTTGGCAGAAAATGTGAAGATGACGATCTAGAACACAACTTGCACAAGCTCTACCAGTGTATTAGGAGGTATGTCTAAGTACAGGATACTAACCAAAAGATCGTTATAAGTTGTTGTCTCGGTGGACCACGAAATTCAGGATTCATCCGATGCTCAAGAATCCAAACAACAGCACCGACAAATAGAAAAAATGCTGCAGTCACACACCACATTTGCCAAGTAAATGGCTTGAGGAAAGACCATGGACTAGATTTAACCTCTCTAACTGGAGCAACTACAACAAGTCCAGATTCCATGTAAGGCTGTGTGAAGTCTACAATCCTTGTCCTATTAGTAGTAATGGTTATATCCCCCACAGTTGCATCATATTTCTGCAGAACCCAGTTAACTAATGTCAATAAAAGGAAAAACTTGCAGCACTAGATATAAACTACAAGTCGAACGGTACTGCTGCTACTGAAATAGGAGATGAAAGTGTGTGCATGCGCGTGCGTGTGCGCGTGCGCGCATATGTATGCACGTGGTTGTTTGGGGGGTACCAATTAAAGGGTGCTGGAATAATTACGTTTTGAGAAACATCAAAAACAATATTGTTGAATTCAGGATTCCTATTGCCATCTCCATATAAAATGTATGTGTGGGGGACAGGGTAAGCCAACAAGTTTATAGCAGCTTCAAATACATCAATGCAGTATCCTTTCGCTCCAGAAGGCCCATTATCTTTGCTAACAAATTCTTTAAAAGTAACCCGGTTGGGAACTGCAATCCTCAGAGGCTTCCCATTGTTTGGGAATACCCATCCCTTAGGATTTGCTGTCATTTCACCAGGCCATATTACACTGTACAGATGTTGGTTACTTGCTGAAATATTTGGAGGCTTTGTGTATAGAATTTCTGGTGCAACAGTAGAGAGATGAGAATAATTTGCCCAATAACCTATTGTTCGTATACCAGTTCCACCAATGTTAAGAATATCATATGAAGGACGGATTAAGTTCTTCTCTGAATCAAACTGTATCAGACCTGTTAAACCTGTGAAGTTCATAGAGAGAAGTATCTTGAGAAACTTCGGCCCTTGATCAAATATACGCAGGGAATTCAAATAAAGGGCACTTCCATTAGTGTCATGCAGGCTGGGATCTTCAGAAAATGTGATATTTCCTCCTTCATTGAAGAAAACATCAAGAGCACGAGCTATTAACCACACTGAATCATAAGCATACAAGGCATAAGAATTAAAGTTCGGGGTTTCCTTATCCTTCAAATTTTTCCACTTAGATGAAAAGCTTCTTTTGAGATCTGATTCTGGAGTATGATGGCGAAGAGAAACAACACCTTGTATAAGATCCATTGTATCAGAATCAACTGAATCCATTGAATCTAAAACAGAAGGAAGCCAATCAGTAGTAATCCAAACGTAGCCAGCACTCATCATTCCAAGGGTCTTTGCAACTGAAAAGATTGTAAGGCCAGAATCAGGATTCACATGTACGACAAAAACCCGTGACTCCATCAGGTTCACTCCAACTAATAAATCTTTAATGTCACTTCTGGGAGCATTTGGAGTAAAAGCTGCCTTGTAAGAAATCTTTGCACGGTTCTTGGCAAGTGCATCTCCCAATACAGAAATCCCGTTTCTACCATAATCATCATCAACAAAGATGGCAATTATCTCCCTCCATCCAAAATACTCAAGCATATCAGCAATTGCATACATCTGGAAATAATCACTCATGGTAGTTCGTAGGAAGTATGGGTACTGCAAAGCAGAAAGAGTTGGATCTGTTGCTCCAAATGACAGAAGTGGTACATGAAGTTCATTCACAACATGAGAAATAACATGGGCAATCCCTGATGACTGTGGACCAATTGCAGCAACCACATCATCCTCTATCAACTGCAAAGCTATACAAATGAGGATGCAGTCATTTCCTCCGATTCCTCTTTTTCAATTACTCAGAAACCCATAGATGTTCAAAAAAAATTAAGGCAGAGCCATTAGATATACTGATCATACCAAGTACATTTCAAACTTATATGAAGATAACTAGTTCATCGCCATTCTTAATATATTCAAGATCTCAAATTTTTTAGGTGTAAAAAAGTTGATAATTCAATTAGCTATGAACTCTGAGTTGTAAAACTACAAATAATTTGTTGCCATGCACAGCCATTCCAGGGGAAATAGGAAAACCTGATAACTCATTCTCTACTTCTAATGTCAGTGCTGCAGAGACATAACAACTTAAAGCAACAAAAGAATTGTGATTGTACTGTTTTCCCTATATGATACGGATGAAAGAAGCAAGTACAAGAAGTTGCCAAAGCTGCGATTTCATAATTTAAACGAATGGATAATAAGTCAGACATCTGATCACTGAAGGTCTGTCCGAGCTAGAAGAAGAATCCAAGAGGAAACATGATGCATGATATTTCTGCAACTTGCAATTTAGCAACATTTATGCTTGTAGTAAGGCTATTGCTTTGACTCGGGAGTTTTGTTTATGAATACCTTCAGATAGAATAGCTTGAGTTAAGAATAGACAACTGCCAACTGAGCAATATTAGACAGCCAATATTAAAGCCTGATTGATGAAAAATGCACATGCAACAAGCAAGAAAGTGCATGTAACTCAACTCACTTCCACTTATTAAGCTGATTCCTAATTACTTTAAAACAGCCAACCGCAGGAATCCTTCTTTTACTTCACCAGTACATATGGTCACAAAAAAAAAAGAAAAAAAAATTCATTTCTGATAACAACAACTAGAACTTAAGTATAGAGCAGTGGAAAAGAAACAAATTATGGTCTAATTCCATACGAAACTAGTTAAGACAAGAATTTCCATCTTCCCTTCCAATATTACCTTCAACAGTTCCAAGGAATTCGCTGCAATTTGTATCATGCAAGATGAGCTTCAATTTTGTCCCCTTAAGAATGCTTGGGTTAGAATTGATCTCATCAAAAGCAGCAAGAATAGCTGGCTTTGCTGATCTTCCAATATATGAATTCAATGTAAACAGAGCTCCAACTTTCACCTCCTTTGGTCTGGCAGCTGAACTATCGTTTGCACCTTGACCAACCACCACCACGGTCACCCACAGACAAGAAACCCATACCAGAAATGCTCTCTTCAGACAAAAAATGAGCTCCATTTCCCACAAAGCAAGAATCCTATATCTGATTCTTTAAGTCATTTGATGACAAAAAATCCTTCAATGAAATTATGGTCCTGCAGATGAGAAGAGCAAGAAAGTAAAGCTCCTCAAACAACAGACTCAGAAAAGAATACAAGATTCCTCACATGGGTTTTTAAGCTTTAAGAACTTGATCAAAGATGAAGCATGGAAAAGAACCTCACGACAAGAACTGGAAGATAGAGGTCCAAGAATTAAGGACCCTCGTATCGGTCCTCAAAAGGCAAACACCCCAGAGGTATTACAAAGCAGAGGAAAGTTCACTGCAAATTTGGCCAAGAAAAATGAAGGTTCATTAAAACTAGAGTCCAACGAAAGTGCAGTAATTTGAACCTGAAACAACCTAACCAACTCGCACCTCACAGTTCAAAATAATCATGGAATATGTGCACAAACTTCCAAAATAAAATGGTATGGACTCATGTTAGATTACGCACCAGCATTTTCTTCTTTTCTTTCATTTTTTTCCCTTTTGTAAGAAATGATAGCGTATATTAGTTATTTAACATTTTTCATCCCATCAGATTATACTCACGTCACATCACTTTGTATTCGACTTTGCTAATACATGTTTTTGGTAAACGAAAACATATTTTACCATCCAACAAGTATAAATATTCATAACTTAACCCAGTATAAATAAGTAACAGTAGACAAAAGAAAATGAGAAGAACATCTAAAAAAAATATTGCAGCACAAGTTGGAATATAGTCAATTGATAAATGTTGCAGACATGATACTAAACACAATTGTTAACTGGAGTAATTCAGACCTGAAGAGAGTTGTTGGAAGATGACAAGTTAGATTACCTGAACTTAATCCAAAATTTGCAACTTTCAACACTTAAAAAATGGTCCAAGACTTGTACTTGTGGCTCTTTCTGAGGGAGTAACTTTGGGTATTAGGACAAGATGACCATTTTCTTGCAGTCACTTGGATTAATTTATATGGGTTAATAAAGTGGATGGTTGCCCTCAGAAGAGCTCAAAACATGAGAACAGTCTTGCAATCTCAGTAAAGAATTATTCTTTCCTGTAATTGTTCTAATAATATACTATAATTCAAGTATCAAACGGAAATGTTTATCATATGTAATGCCATCACATAAGTTGGAATAGTTAAGAGAGAAGGGAGCGTCAGTGAGAAGTCTCAAATTTCAAATCCTTCATTTCTGCTAAAAAAAATTTGTGCTTTTAAAATAATAATTAAGTTGATATATTGCATTTTAACATTTGTATTTTGATTTTTGTTCTTGACTCCAAATTTTATTTTTACAAAATGCTAATAGAATAAGAAAAAAATTCAGGGCTCACCTAATTATTGTTAAATTTTGAGGTGGGAAATTGAAAAATGTGGTAAAATAGATTGGGATACTACTAGAAGTCTTGTGTATTATTTCCACAAGTAGGTTGTAGTTAACACTAGGATTTAGGTCAGTTTCATAATAGTAATAGAATATTACCAAATTAAGATGAGAGGAACATGATGTATGGTCAAGATAATGCCATGTCATTATTAGGTTAGATGATGAAGAATGGGTCCCATTTGTCTCTTGCATGGAACACGTGGATGATCTCTTACTGTTTATTTTGGAATATAAGCAATTGGCAATTGACAATTGACTCTTGGAATATTTATTGAACGCAGCCAAAGGAGAGGTGTAATCTAGTGCAGCCACAAATCACAGTTTACATCAGCTTATTGGAATAAAAATTACATAATCAGGATCTTAATTGTCCACGTCACATCTTTGGGTACACTGTGACCAAAACATTTTAAAAGAATTTAGTGTTTTCTTATCTGTAACCTCCCTCATTTTTTTTTCTTTTTTCTTTGAAACATTTTGTTTGGATAGTCGATTATTTTGGGAAGTTTATTTGTTTGCATTATCAACACATTTTGCAATCATCTTTTTATTTCATATACATATTAGCACATAAAATCACGCAGGAGAAGTAACATTAAAATCTCACAAGTAATGAACATTAAAAAAGACATGGGAGGAAACAAAATATTTTGCTTCAATTCATTAATTTTCATCATCTACAAATCTAGGACTCCAAGTGCTTAAACAAAAAAATATATATAATCACGAATCACATTCTAATTATAATATAAAAACATGACTCAATAGATTTCCTAAACCAACTTTGACATCAAACCTAATATAGTTATCAAATAAAAAATATAATTCTAAAACTACTAAATTTTTAAATTTTGCTCGGTTTAAAATATGTCAACAATACCTCCCTTAAACCAAACTTTTGATGTTGTTATCTCCAATATGATCACGAGTTTCAATCGCCATTGCAGCCTTTGTAGCACTGTAATTCAAGTGCAACTCCAATTTATAATTTTTACCCATCTAAAATTTTGTATTGTTCAGACAATTCTCGTGAATGTTTTTTTTTTCCATTGTAGCTGAAAAAACAAAAAAGACTGGGTAGAGGCAACGAATAATTATTAGTTCAATTTTAGACGTTAAAGGGACTTCAAAACTTCATCAAAACCACAATAAACACGAGCAAATTGACTTTGTCAAAATCCATTTGCTACCGTGTAGTTTACCTTTAGAGGACATGTAACATCAGAAATTTATTTTTTCATAACATTCAATGCAAAGACTTCCACAGCATTCAATGCAAAGACTTAATTGGTCAAAAGATTTTTCCAGACTCCAACCTTCCCTTCCCCTTTCCCTTGTAAAGTTTAATTCCTGTAAATTGAGACAAAAAAAAAAAAAAAAACACATAATTCGACCCTAAAGTTCTTTTCGTTTCTGGTTCTTCCTTGTAAGGTTTAGAGCTTCCTATAAACTAAGCAAATAAGACCACAAAAAAAAAAAAAAAAAACAATATAGGTAGTTTGAATTACGGTTTTCTTTTTTTAAAAAAAAAGCTTGTTGCTATAGATATATGCATTTAATTGTTACATTTGTAGGACAGATTTATTTAAAATATGGATTTTTTTTCTTTTGGTTTTTTTGGGATCTTTAAGATGGGTTTGGTTGAATCTAAACTTTCTTTTGGAACTTCTAATTGGTACTCATTAGATTTTGAGCTGCAAAGATTCATTTGTATTTACAGAAATTTTGGAGTTTCACACTGCTAACTGTTATTGATTTCTTTGATTTGAAAGGAATCTCTTCCTGTCTGTTTTATGTCTTGCATGGTTTTCAGGTGTTTCTTGGCACTATTGCAGCTTTCGTCTGAGCATTAAAATTCTCTTATTTTGAAAAAAAGGAAATTCTCAAAAGCACTAGTGTTTCTATTGTGCTCAAGAAATGGAGACTAAATTATTGATATTTCACGAACCCTTTTGCAAATTAGCTTCACTTCTCCCCCCAACAATTTGTAAATTAACTCATTTTGATTGTAGCACAAAATCTCTCCATATGTGTTAACCATGTTCGTTTGGATTGCTAGTTTTTAGAGAAATTCTTTACTTTCCCGTTCGCAAAAAAAAATTATATTAATACATTTTCTAAATACTTTTTAATTTTACACGTATCATGTTATAGAAAATACTACAGTATTATTTTGGCTAGTTTAGGATAATCACCAAAGCATAAGTGACAAGAAGATATATATATATATATATATATATATTGAAGGAGACAAAATAGATATTCTCTACTGGCCTATCTGAAATATGGAACTGTAATGTAGGGTGGATGTTTTGGGACTGTTCTCTGATTCTGGAGAAGATATTTTCTCTAAAGACAAGCATTCGCTTTGTTTTTTTTTTTTTTTGTTTTTTTTTTTTATCAAAACGGTAACATCGCTTTGTTTAAAATGCAAAGATTTTGTCACCTGTCCAAATCAACTTTACAGATTCACCAGATGGGCCAAACAAGGGGAAGGAATAGGCATCTGCTTGGAAATAAACAGGGTGCAATGTGCCAGCTCATATATGGCGCCAACAGTCTCTTGGGCCGTTGATACAACCTAGACATGGTTGTGTTTGGATTGTATTTTTCATAGATTTTTCATTGAAAAATTACTGTAACGATTTAATGTATGTGAGGTAAAAAAGTGATAGGGAAATGTGTTCACGAAAAACAAAGCCATTATCCAAACAAGTTTTGGTGGAGGTGGGAGGTCAAGGAGTCAAGGGTTCAACCCTTGCTTTCTATCTTGTCACTTAATTGTGATTTTCTCTGACAAGAAAATTCCGTTGGCTCCTCCTCACTAGGCTAGAGTAAATTATACAAATATTATCGTTGCACTAAAAAAAATTAGCAGCTAATATACGGCAAATTGTACCAAATGTACACTATGTTAAAGCTTCCATTTTGATGGCTATTTTCGATAAAAGAAATTTTTAACTGATTTTCAAAAACATTTCCTAATTGAATTTTTTTCAAAAAATAATTTTGGTTTCTTTGAATCATATTTACATGCACCCTTGTCCAAAAAAAAAAAGAATGCTATAGTGATGCTTTGTCTTCTGAAAAATGCCATCCACTCATATAAATGACCATTGGATAGATAGGAAAAAGTGAAAGTAGCACCAGTGCACCTAAGCACCTTCAACCATTAAATGGTTGTTCACACGTCAACCAAATTCTTGTTTGTGGATGCCAGTAGAAATGTAGAGTCTTAGTCCTGGCTTTTTATTCATTTCACAACATCTCTAATTTTTTTTCATGTGGTCTTTTTGGAAGCGTGTAGAATAGATGCCATCATTTATCTATTTGAAAAGGTGAAAAAGGATTAGCATTTGTACATTTTAAATGATTTAGGCCTGGTTTAAAATTGCTATGGTTTATAAAAAAAAGTACTTCTGACATAAGTGTTTTTAAATTATCAAAAATTGGACTCGCTAAGTTTCGAGAAATTAGTTACCAAATACTTAAGAAGGATTTTTAATGCTTAAAAGCCCTTTTTTGGTAGACCGTGCTAACTCCAAACGAGGCCTTAGTCCACTTTTAATATGAACGGTGAGGTTGAAAATTGGAAACCATCAAATCAACAAAGTAGTGGACGAAAATTATAACAGCAAGGAGATTTGATTGTAAATATCCTTTATTTTGCTTTGAAGCAAGGTGATGATGCCGCAGAGGACTGATTTAGTTAGTGGCTACAATTAAGACTCAAAACTTGGATGTCTTGGATTTAAAACCAATTTTTCCTTTCTTCACTTTTTTAATCTCATCATTATCTAGCTAAGAGCCCAAAAAAAAAAAAAAAAAAAAAGGGCAATGACCAACATTTTAACACTCCCATACTTTTTTTTTATAAATTTTTTTTCAATAATCACCTAAACATGAAATCAAAACTTGTTCTCTTTCTCTGTTTTTTTCTTTTTTTTTTTTGTTGGTAGGGGTATAGATTAGAAATCCTTTTCCTA